ATTTCTAAAGATTAATATTTCATAGTTTTATAAAGTGGAAATAGTTACAGCAATATCCATTTAGTGATAAGAATCTTAATTGGAATGGCAAGTTTTGCTAGAATATACAAAATATTTTATTTTGATAATTTATTAAAATAATTGATTCAAGTTTGACTATGTTATATTGGATATATTATATGCTATCTGATTTCATTATATCGTGAAACTTCACAAGATTTCAGAACTTCAGAATGAGTGTCTCAAATCCATTGGGATCCATTTAGAAAAGTAATCATTTATAGATAATTAATGTCTATCTTAATACCTGTTCTAATTCAATTGCACCAGTATTAAAAAAAGTCTAGCAGACTCTAAATTCCCAAGTTTCTTTGAAGTTCAACGGCGTATAAAACGCTTCTTCACTTGAAGAAGCTTCAACAAGTATTTTTCATCGTTTCGCGGGCAAAATGTGTGTCTTCCTTGCTCGCAAGTGATGAATACGAAGGAAGATCACGCACGATTCCGTACGTACATCTAGAGCGACATCATGGCAAACGGGTCGCGTGTTTAACCCTTAATTTCATCCATCGTTTCCACGATCTTCGCGTAGGAAGCACGGATTCCCTCTTTCACCCCTTGCACGAAGTCATGTATTCGTGACGCCCATTGTTTCACAACCTGAGGCAAAGTTATCTCATCAAGTCGTCACGAGGACGCCCCTGCTCTTTAGGGCAAAAGACGCGATTAAACTTTTCTTACTTTGCCTATTTATTACTGATCCCCGACCACGTTCTCTGCTTCTTCTTCTACGTGTTCCGTGTCAGGTGTGTGCCGATTAGCAAGTTCTCCCGTTTTTGTTACTTCGTTTGCGCTTCCTTCGCGCGATGAAAGATTAACGTGCCAGCATTTCGCTTTCCTCCTTCTAGATTTACCTGATTTTCTTCGAGCAATGTGCATCGTTTCGTTTTTAGTCCCATGAAGCAACTTGCGAGTCCGCTTGATTTATAAAAAGATTAATGTGTTCACTATATACCTAAAAATCACGATAGTTTGAAAAGTAAATTTTTAGGATAAAATTCATCTGGAGCAGGTACATTATACAAAAATATATAAAAAATCATATTAATAAAATCTTTTAAAATCCTATACCCTGTATGTTGAAAATTCTTTAGTCCATCATTGGTTGATTGTTATTTCCTTATATCCCTGTATATAAAATACCTTTCGCTTCTCTATTAAGAAGTATTATAACAATATAATAGTATTCTTCGATGATCAGAATTTGAAGTTATAAAAGGATCAGAAACAACCATCAACACCTTTGTAAAATTCCAAGGTAATCTAAACTCTGACCACTCAGTTATTTCTTTAGAATCTTAAATCTTAGCTTCTGTTCAATAATTCTCTAATGATTTTTTTTTCACCGAATAAGATTACTTTGAAATAATGTTTAACATAAAAATATTCACAAGCGATTTCCATAAGGAAAAGGGAGAAATATATAATTTCATTATGAATATGATGATTTATGGTAATTTGCGATACAGTTAGTTACTATCGAAATGAAAGCGTATTGTTTCCGTGTATGAACAAAAAGTGCTTCTCATTAATATTTTACTCGTACAGTTCTCCCTCCAACGATCAAACTCCTCCTGTTTTTTCCTCCTCAGACCAACACACCGCCTCCTGACTATATGGCATGTTCATGTAGTGTTATTTCAATTGCAAATCAATACTGACGCGTGGAAAACACAGAGGTAACTCATGTAACTTCAGGCAAGATGGATCTGATATGTCTTAAAAAATGGAACGTAGTGTTCTTTCGTTTGATTCCGTTGCTTGATTCTACGCTATAAAATACGTATAAAGAATATGTAAGTTTCCATCATTATTTAAACATTAACAAATTAGTAAACAATGTAATGAAAATGAAATTCTTATTGGGGAAAGCAGTGTTATTTTTTGAAGATTATAATATTATACAAATAAATATTCTGAAGTATCTCTTTATAGTGAATTTAAATATATTGAATATGTATCTGAACACGTGTAAAATATAATATATTATGGTTATACAGCTCCCTTCAAGGCAATCCACTCCGATAACATCACAATAAATGATTATCTTCAA